CTTTGACGTGGCTTTTTATTTTTCTCAGTAACAAATATAAATGTGCACTCATCATTACTATAAACGCGCTCAGAGCAGTTTCGATTTCTGTATCGGACATCTTCACATTGGCCCTGACGGGACAGAACTAGTTTATTAGCCAACGTGTGTACGCCTCACCGAGTTTGCAGTCCAACGTTGGTACGAGCGTTGGGACCCACATGTGGAGCCGGCGTTACAGAGGTTCCATTTCTGTTGTTGGTAGCATTTTTTCCTCAACTTAATGAGCGATTTAGTGGGCAACTTCATTCTGTTAATTTTGTGTCACGGTGCGCGCGCATCGTAAAATTTCACCTCATAAATTTTTCATAACGCGCCTAAAGAAGTATAACTTCAAAAAGTAAACTTTATAGGTACATTGGTCATAAAAAAATATCAAAGGAAACCGTTCTTATATTTTTCGAAATAAATAAATTTTTAAAATGATGTTACTAAAATTGTTTCTAAAAAATATACTATTATAATATAAGTATTAATTTCCAACACACAAATATACATTATTTACAATATTCTTAACCTACATAGTAATATTAATAACAATAAGTAAATGGATAAATAGAAAATCAAAACTAGAGTCCTTTTCATGAAAGAAGTCCCACGGTGATTTTTGGAACTAAATTTGACGATGTTATCAAGTTCGTTGGTTGTGGTAGATTTTTGTGAGTTTTTAACTAGCTTAGTGCATTTCAAAGATTGTTTACAATGGCAAAAGTTGTAAAAAGTTCGGCTCGAGAAATTATATTGAAGGTGAAAGAGTTCTGTGAAGTGGAACAAAAGGATCAAGGTATTTTAATAACACTAAACAATGTTCGGAAGAGAGTCGCCGCCATAACAGATACATTTTAGAGTTGCCATATTATAATTTTTTGCTGTATTGATGGGAGTTTTATGATATGAATTCATTTTTGCGACAAAATTGAACAAATACATAACGTGATGAAACTAGGTCACTGAAATTAAAACATATATTACATAAGCATTATAAACTTAAAGTTACTTTTATTTTTAATTGTTCATTATTTAATTGCAGGTGTGTTAGAGAAAACTGTAAAAAGATTTACAAAAGAAGGTATAACAGTGGCGAGTACTTCGAAACAAACTGTCACCATTGAAGAATCGCCCGCATCTGAAAAAGTATCAATATGAAAAATAATAATTCTATCTACGGCTAGTGATACTGAAACAGAATCTGATAGTTTCCATCCACTCTTCAGTCAGTAATGTTCCTATGGCCGCTGATCACAATTATTCAATAAAACTCTGAATTATAATTGTAATGCTTTTCTTTACACTATTTTCTCATATTTTCCCTGTAAGTAGGTAGAACACCGCTTATATGAGTAAATAAAAATATGCTTTTTACATAACAGAAATATTGTTTCATCCAAGTATGTAGGAAATAGTATTATTTGATAAATAACACAATATGCTAAATGTAAAATAGGTAAATTTTTTACTCATAAATGGTAACATTATGTCACGCGACTACAGCGCTGCGTCTGGGGGACTTATTTCGTAAAAAGGACTCTAATTTAAAAAGTTCTGTCCCTGTTGCAGTGCGTTCGGCAATATCGTCAAGTCGAGGCAAAAGGCCCTGACGTACCGATTAAAGGCTCCATAGACCATACCATAATAAGCGAAAAATGTATTCGGATGTTCATACAAAATGGTTGTGGCTTTTTGTACTGTTTCTTCATTACATTGACGATATGCTACAAAATTTTCCAATACATATGAATTTTTCTAAAAAAATGTTTTTACAAAGTCGACATCCTAAAGATCCTTAAGTTTCTGAGACATTTTCTCTAAGATGTCGAGATTCCAAATCTTACTATATATGCAAGCCTTCGGCATAAGTTTTGTATTAAAATTAGCGACCAAGTTCAAAAATAAAATGTTGATTAGGTATACAGATTTTTTGCTACTCAAATTCATGGGGCTGTGCAAATTTTTGGATCGATCTATATATTTTTCACGCTAAAACTTTATCGAATTTGTTTTGGTACTTATAAAAAAATATAATTAAAACTACATTATAGCAAAAATGTTAATTAAGTGTCAAAACTATGATTTTATTTTTACACAGTTTTTAATTTGAATCCATGTAGGTATATTATGCTGCTTAATTTATAAATTGTGCATCATCTAAAATTTTTTACCATATATGTGTGCATTTCTTAAAGTTTGGACCTACTAGCTAAAGCGGTACGTTATTATTGGCTTGTAAATCTCTTACCTTTGATCGCAGATAGATCTAGTTGATTTTGGATTCAGTCAACGTTCAAAAAAGGAATAAGGGCACGCGGTAGTTATTTGTTCCAGACCATTGCTTCATACTTTTCTATATGGTTTGGTAAAAATTTAGTTTTAGGTGCTATTTTGGTTAGTAAACAAAAATAACCCATCGTGTGTAGATCGCCGAAGCCTTAAAATTTTGGATCGGAATTTTGCAGGAAAGTTGGAAAAATTTATTTTATGTAATTGGAAGTTCCAAGTTGTCAAGTGGCGACATTGTCTGTATATTTCCGATTCCGAGATCCGTCATCCGTGAATCGTGATCCGTTACAAATCACAAACAGTCATAACAATATTAACAATGATGTGTTTTTAAATAATTTAAAATTAACTGTATTAAATTTTTATATTTTATTAATAAAAAACCTTTCCAAATCAGAATATGAATTATTTGATGTATAAGAAAAATGAAATTATTAATTCCGAAGACAGAGCTATGTATCTGTTTACTGATTTGGACGATTGCGAATATTTACGCTTTATATATGTTATTAAAATCACAAACCGGTAAGTTATTTTTTTAAATATATAACAGTTTAATTTAAATTTTTATAGCCTTGATTTTGTTATTTCAGAAATATTGGAGGCTGATAAAAATGTATATCTCTCATTAGAAGATTTACAACCTGGTTGGAAGTTGTTTTCGAGATATAAAGATGTGTCTGATATTGAGTGGAGTAGTTGGAAATATTATATAAAAATATCGTGGTTTTACATATTAATACAGTTCCTAGTATCCGAATTAATTCGTCGATATTCACCAAGTTTTATAAAACAATGGTATATACTATCAAGTTTAACATTTGTTTGTACTTGCTTAGGCTATAAACAAATGATTATTATATTAATACAACCTGTGATATATGCTACAGTTATCAATCTTGGTGGAAAGAAAATAAGCATTTGGCTTGTCAGTATTTTTTTATTACTTAGCTATAATTCATTGAAATACAAGAATTTCTTTTGGACATTCTTGGAACACAGAGAGCTGCAAGATGAAGAAGTGTATTTAATTCTATTTTGTATGGCTTGGGTTGAATTAAGATGTATCAGTTTCTCTATTGATTTTATAGAAAACAAAGAAAACAACAGGATAAAACCCGAAGATTGCATAAATTTTTTAAGCTATGTTTTGTATTTACCAGTTTTATACATGGGACCTATAATATTATACGAGGAGTTTGAAAAGAGCTATAAAGTACAAAATACTGACATTTACCCAAGACTATTAAGATTTTTACCAGACATCTTTATTTTCTTAATATATTCAGTATGTCTTGATTTTTCATTCCATTTCATTTATTTTTATGCCATACAAAATGATATAGAGGTAAGAATTTGGAATAACTTAATTTATGAAGTTCTTCATATTAATTTATATAAGTTTGTTAACTAGATTTTGTTTTCAGTTAGTAAGAAAAATGTCAAGTATAGCCCTTTGTGGGGGAGGTTTATGGATGGGGCTTGAGTTTTACTTAAAATATGTGATATCATATGGCACAACAGGATCATTTGCTACGCTTGACAATATTGAAGCACCCCCTACTCCACGATGTATAGCAAGAATTCATGTTTACTCTCAAATGTGGAGGCATTTTGATGTTGGCCTTTATAGGTTTTTAGTCAAGTAGGTATTTAAGTCAAATTAGTGCAATAAGGTCTCTGTGTCGGTCGGAAATAAGCTTGATAGAAGATGATGTTTAAATTTTAATCATTATCATCCATAAACTATCTAGTCACAAAATCCATGCCTTGTGACTTAACTTTCCTTTAGCACGTATTAATAGATTCTTTGTATTATGAAAAGGTTTTATGTAAAATGTTACCATTATTAAGTACAAAATCAATTTATAATTATACAGAAAGCCTTTTTAGCTAATTATGAGAAATTTGTTTATGGGATATTACATAGACCTTACTACAGATTTGTCAAAAATGTTTTTGACGAAGTTGATTTTTAATAATTTAAGTCCATCTGATTAGATTTGAATAATATTTTTGTTTTTTAGGTACATTTATAAACCATGTTATGTTCTGTCAAGTGAATATATAAATTTACCAAAAATTGCCTACAAGCTTTTAGCATCACTTGGTACATTCCTTTTTATATTCATGTGGCATGGGATGGTGTGGCATATACTTATGTGGTCGTTCTTGAACTATTTTGGTATATTAATGGAACATGTAGGAAAGATTATATCAAAATCTGATAAGTATGTTTGGTTTAAGGAAAAGGTTTTGAAAACAGAGACTATGGAGGCCAGACTTGTAGCAGTTTTGTGTGCACCATTGTTGGGTTTATCAGCTATTTCGAATTTTTATTTATTTGCTGGTAGTAGTGTTGGAAATCTATTTTTCGAATATCTCTTTCAAATACCAACTCTTGTTAATTGTGTAATTGTTTGTTCTTCTTTGTATAGTTGTTGTTATGTTTCAATGGCTTTAGAAAATGTCCCATCTAGACAATTAATTTTTCACAATTTTTATAAAAAGCACTTGTGATAATTCTACAATCTAGAAAGTAATTTGCCAATTATTTTAATGTGACGAATTTACAATGACAAATATATTTATTAATTATTTATTTAAAGTGTTTTATTTATGACATAACTTGTAAGAATGTTAATGTTTAAAAAAGCTATTTTGACAACTTTTATTTTATATCATTAAAAAGCAATCAATTGATAAGTATTTGAAGCTTTCAGTAATAAATAGGAATGTGTGTGCATTGCTTCTATGAGATCTTTTGCGTCGCCCGCGATGCCGGCCGCTTTATGTATTTGAATTAGTTCCTGTCTTGTGAACACATCCTTATTAAGCTGATGGGATCTTCTTGTTAGGGCATCTAGGAATTTTTTAACCTGCCGGATATAATAATAACTATTTCAATATAACGAAATTACCCGCCTGGGAGTCCTAAACGTTGAGTCTGGAATAAATGGGCGGAATGCTTATTTCTCAGTCTTGTTTAACTGCCCATTTCTTTACTAGATATTATTCAGGAGGCTCTATTTATTAAGTTGGTCACTTTAATTCGGTTACTTCGAATAATTATGATTTAATGTTCTGTGTCAAGCGAAGCCCGATCGTCAAAATCGTTTAGTCACGACATCGTGCATTTAATGCATACAAAATAAAATTTAATTGTAAATTCGCCACGACTTATTTCAAGGCAACTCTTATCACTGATTTTATAAATAAGATATAAAATGTTAATGCATAAAGCGATTTACGCAAGATTTAATTATTATTACGCGTGTGTAAAGACATAACGCATTGCCCTATATAATATGTTTTCATATCACCCTAGTATCACAATATCAGGGGCAAAACTCAGCTTGACAACCTCAATCGAGGCACATGTTCAAATCAACCAAGGAGAATTAGAATATTTATCCAAGAAAAATTAAATGTTTTTTTGATCAAACAAAACCTTATGATCTGAACGTGCAATCAACGAGGAAATTTGTTTATGGAAAAGCAAGTATCTATAATTAATTAGTAGGTACCTTATTTCTTGAGCTGACTCCAGAACCATTAATCGATCTAGACAATTGTATATTACCAAATTCATCACTGAACGTGTCAACTAAACTGTGTTTGATTAAATCAATTACGTCATTCGCATCTTCAAGTGTGGCTTCCTCTCTCAAATTTACTCTTGCGCGAGCCTAAAAGTTTTGAACAGTTTATACCACTTATATTAATAATAATAATAATAATTAAGCCTCATTTATTCTATGAAAAATTTTACAAAATATACACACACACACATACAATAAAATACATACATATATATATATTTTTTGCTTTTCCAAGGACCTCTTATTGAGTATAGGCCTCCTTCATATCGCTTATATTATTAAAACTAAATCGGTCTAATTGCACTTTTATAACTAAAGTTTTCTTACGTATCATTCTGACAAATCGTGTTAACGCTGTGATAAAGAGATTTATTGATAACTTTAGTTAAAATAATTCAGCAATTGGACTAACTTATTTTTTTATGAATAATTTTATTATTTAATATTAACATGATTAAAATCAAGGCTTCATTGTAAATTCCGTGTATATGTCATTTCACCACCATTGTGGAAACAGCTGCCCACTGAAGTATTAATAATCCTAATCCGACTTAGGGTCCTTCAAGATAAGAGCGTATTTTCCAAAGGCCGGCAACGGACTTGCGAGCCTTCTGAGAGTGTGAGTGTCCACTGTAGCCTCCTGCTCGTTTGCCCGCTGTACTATAAAATAAACATTTTTAAAGGCAAGATCCGACTTCTGTGCCACTAGTATTGTTGTGACGGGAAACGAATTTGGTACTTCCCACTTCGTCATGTGCATAAACCATGGAGACGGGTTGAAGTTTTCATGGCTTTGACAATTTTTTTACCTGGCTTAGCCGTATGCTGGCTTCCAACTGTCTCGTGGTTATGGGAGTGCCATCTGTTGCTTGATGATTATGTCTTAGCTCCAAGTAGAAGCTCTGCAAGGCGTTCGCAGCTTCCGTACTGAGTTTGGGGTGCACGTATCTGCGTGCGTACGCTATGTACTTACGAAGGAGTACCAGTGGTAGTGCGTCTATCACTTCGCCTGGCTTAAGTTTTAGCCTTTGTCTGAAAATCGAATAATTTTCACACACAAATATGGTTGTTTAAATCAAATATTTTAAGTTATTTCTCAGTGTCTATTGTTAAGATTTTTTTATTTTGCAAACAAAAACCATGATCCCTAGGAAAATATATTTACGTAGTAGGATTAACACTCGACAACAAGCGACTCTCGTACCCGAGGTCGTAGGTTCGATCCCCGGCTGTGCACCACTGGACTTTCTATGTGCGCATTTAACATTTGCTCGAACGGTGAAAGAAAACATCGTGAAGAAACCGACATGTCTTAGACCCAAAAAGTCTTGTGTCAGGCACTGGAGGCTGATCACCTACTTGCCTATTATAATTTAAAATGATCATGAAACAGATTCAGAATTCTGAGGCCAAGACCTAAAAGAGGTTGTAGCGCCACTGATTTTTTTTAGTAGGATTAACAATACTACAATATTTTATTGTATATTTATAGATTCCATTGCTTAAACTGTTATATTTTTTTATTTTAACAAAATAAGCATTTATAGAATTTAAACATATTAAAGAATTTTTTATTTGATTCTATTAAAAGAAAGAACAACCTCCTAGTCCTCAGAGTTTAGGTTTAATGATATTTTTTTTATTAGGTGATCAGCCTTGTGTACCTGAGGTACGACATCGTCTTTTGGGTTTGAAGCTTTCTCACGATGCTTTCTTTCACCATACAAGTGAGTGTTAAATGCGCACACATAAAGAAAAGTCCATTGGTGCACGCCGTCATTCAATCGCACGAGCTCGGAGGTGAGATGCGCCCGCTCACTGCGCGAGGTTTTCTTAGCAAGCGGTCATATTATTTTAAATAATTGTAATGCGTGTTGCAATTTATACTAATACTATAAAGAGGATAGATTTGGATATAAGTATGTTTGTAACGAATTGGCTCAAAATGTCCAGTACATTTTAAAAAATCTTTCACCATTTGAATGCTACATTATCACTGATTAATATAGGCTATTTTAATTGCTAGAAAAAAATAAGGATCCCTACTAAAACTACAATAATGTTACCCAAGATAAAAATATCTTTCATCGCATGCACTGCGAAAACTATTGATGATAGAACAAAAAAATAGTTCCACAATAATAAAGAACATTTTAATATCTTTCCGCTGCCGCTAGTTAAGTATATACAAACATTACTAGGTATTATAACTAAATTAGACTGACCTTAAGGACAAATCACTTGAAGTTTGACTAGCATCGGAAGTATTCATAGAACTAGTGCCAGCACCTGCCTTTCTCTTTGCTTTAGATCCTGAATGAAGCGCTAAAACATGTTCTGAGAGCATTGCGTCGGTTTTCTGAAGAATAAATTAAATAAGATTAGAAAAGAAATTGCATTGAGACAAGTTGCGTTCTACGTAAGGAAGTTTTAAATATGGTTTAAAATTTCATTTCTAATGAGATAAGTTTCGCCGCAAATTATCTATTATATAAAATTCTCGTGTCACAATGTTCGTTTCCATGCTGCAAAACGGCTCGAAAGATTCTTATGATTTTTTATGCATATTCAGTAAGTCTGAGAATCGTCTACTATCTATCTTTCAAACCCCTAAATGTTAAGGGTGGTCACCCCTAAATTTTAATTTTTTTGTATTTTTTTGTTTTTATAAATTAATTAATGCTACAGCATACAAAAATACACACAACACTTAATTTTCGCCCCTCTACAAACAACACCTATTTTTATTTTATTATTGTAGATGGTTATTTTTATTGAACTAAAAAAATATTCTAGAAAAAAATATAAGTACATAGCAAACCAAATGTTTGCCGGGTCAGCTAGTAATCTATATAATTGTTATGAGGCTGGCAACAAGACGAAACCTTAATGACGTCATCAGACAATGAAGCTTGGAACTCGGTTCATACAATATTCGTAACTTATTGCACAAACTGAATGACGATGAGTACGTAACTGAAAATTGTACTATTGTACACAATTCGTGTCCAACTAAATGGAAGATCTTAGGGTGCGTCCACATCTGGCGAATATGCCGCGAATGTGCAGCTCGCGAGGCGTTTGCGAGCTGCGCGCGTGCAGTCAAGGCAATGGTTTGGTGCGCCTCTTTAGCGCAACGCTTGTAAAAGGCGCGCGACCTGTGCGCACTCAGTTCTCGCGTTACAGTTACAGTTCCGTTTACTGGCGTGGGCGAAAGGAAGACACGAGCTGCTAGCGCACCGCCCGCGCGCTGATCGCGTACGGCGCTTAGGTTGCGCGCGAAAAAAAAAAGCACGCGCGCAGCTCGCAAACTGCTCGCTGCTCATTCGCGGCATATTCTCCAGATGTGGACGCACTCTTAAACATTTTAGATATTTATCAACAAACCTCATCTGGTTGATCCAAAAGAATGAAAACCAGGTCGAATCGCGACAATAATGCTGAGTTCAGTTTCAAATTCTCAGCCACGGTTTTAGCTCTGAAATATAATTTAAATAATTTAAATTGTAACTTTTAACATATTATTTTGTATAAAGGATAGAAATCGGTCTTCTGTGCAATTATCGGACCGAAAACCTCGATTAAATTACTTTTCTTAGGTTTTAAATCGAGTGAATAAATCTGATCTTGTTTACAATATCTTTAATTCAAAATATCATTTAGGTAACACAATGTACACTTAACACTTATGAGCGTCAAAAAAAAAATATATATGATATACTTTTAATTTTACATGTACTGCCAGTTCTCAATCAGGGCGAACAAGGCATTGAAGCTCTCTCTGTGAATATATCGAAATTATTTTATTTAGGTTTATAATATTTATTACCAAGAAAACAAAAATATTATAATTTTTATGAATTAAAATTACCACAGTTTTAACAGTTGCATACCTGTTATAACTGCCGGCAGCGGGATTAGCAGCGGCAAGTACTGTGGCACGCGCGGGAAGAGTACAAACAACTCCGCCCTTTGCCACGCTTACGCGACCTTGCTCCATTGCTTCTAAGAGACTGCTATGATGCGCTGGCATCTTAAATCAACCAAATAATTGAAAGGCTGATTCAATATTTTTTATATGCAACAGCGGATTGGAAACCAGAATACTTATTAGTAATAGTAAATAAATAAAATAAAAATGTGTTTATTCGTTAGATTCGATGACCTTTTTAACTCAAAGATAGCATCTGGTTATAACTATGTGGTGGGGTAATTTTAGTAGCAATACCTAAGTGCTTCGTACTGAACTTATTTTTCAAGATATATTTATTGGGAATAAATAAGCGTTTTTAACTGAAATTTACAACAATCTAACATAAAACTGTGCCATGATTTTTTTTTATTACGCACTTGGTTTAAACTTAAACAAGTGATTTGTCGTGCAATGTAGGTTTGATAGGCACTAATTTTATGACCTTATTTTTCAAAAAATTAACTACTATATGCAACTTTACAGAAATTGGTTAAATAAAGTTAACTTAGATAAAGTTTAAAAAAAGCCTTTTATTATCGTAGATAGAATAGAAACAAATAATACAATTATTTCATTCTACCTTATTACTACTAAGATTATAACAGAATTTAATTAATTGTAATAGAATTATTACTATCATTGTTATCATTATTATATATTTTTGTTATTAATGGCTTCGAATCTCTTCGGATCAACCGTGGTAGGGACAAGAAAAAGATGGCGCGTATCCGAAAAACGTGACGATTTGCTACAAAATTTCTCCCATACGTCGATAAAGGTCTCTTCAAATATATAATAGAAAAAAGTTTTATCTGTAAAAAATATGTTTACCTTATCCAATTCGTCAACGCAGCAAACGCCTTTATCAGCAAGGACTAGGGCTCCGGCCTCGAGTGCGAAGTCTCCACCCGCCTCCCGACCGAGTGCTACTGTTAAGCCCCCAGCCGATGCAGACGCCCCACATACATAGACACCTAGTAATACAAAATGATTACTTAACAATTCCTTACGGAAATATTTTAAAATGTCTGGCAACAAGAAAAAAAAATATCCCTTGTTTTTTCTGTAACTTCTTTTTTAAGTAAAAATTCTGCGTGACTCTCACGTGACTATAGTTTGCCATATTAAAATTACAACAGACGAAATATAAAGTATTTCTTTTCATCGTTTTTCGTTTTCATATTATTGTGCAACTTTAAACAGATTGGAAAAACCAATATCCAATTTACATGATGAAGAGACTCGCAGAATGAGTTGTGCGATGCGAAAATGATTGGCCCAAAAAGTATAAAGTCAACGTTAACATGACAGAATATCATGAAAACGATAGAATTATCATGATTCTACCTAACTTACTACTAAAACACTTAAATTAAAATATATGTATGTTATTCATGTATGTTTAAAAACATTTACGACTGTTATAGGTCGGTTATCGAAAGCTGGCGGGTTCACAGTACTCACACTAATGCAATTTCACATACAGTATGTTTCAAAATATGATTTTTTTGCCATGCTATACATTTTAGTCCACTCATACACGACGGACAGTTTATTCATGATGTATTTATGATTGTATTTCAGTTTGACATTACGTCTCGCGCTTATTCACAGACACTACACAAGCACAAAGTGTAAATGTGTTGAAGCCGCCAGCTTTAGTTAACATACCTATAAAAATTATGTAAAAAATTTGTTTAAAAAAATTATTGTAGTATAGATAGTACGAATATTACGTATTTTTTTATAGTATAGCGGGGCAAATGAGCTTACGGGACGCCTAAAAAGGGCTGTTATCGCAGCCCATGGACATTTTAGTAGGTGCGTTGCCGGCTTTTGAGGGAGAAGTTTAGTCTTGTTTTAAACAATTGGAAGAAGAAAAAGGAAGACCTGACTGGGAGTCAATTCCACAGTTCGAAAATGATCAATATTAATGCCCAGCGTATCTAACCTCTAGGAGCAGCGTGTGCGGCGGCTTGCAACAACTGTGACTTGCCCAAGCCCGGATCACCGACCACGAGTACGTGCGGATTGCTACGAGCGCTCTCGTGTTCCGTGCCACCAAACAGACCAAGTATGAGGCCGGCTTTGACTGCCTCTTGCCCAAATATTGTGGGACATAGTGAATGCACTAACAGTCGAAATACGTCTTCTGTTGCATGGATCTCCTGGAATATTAGTAGACAGGTCAATGGAGACTAATCAGTAAAAATATATGTGCATTACAATTGTTAGATTTGGGGACCATTTCAATAAAAATATACCCGTTGTTAGGGTTTCCTACTTATTCATAAAAAATTAACAAATTATATTCACAAGAGTAAAAGAAAATGTTATTATGTATAAGATAATAGTAAATAATAAAATAAAAAATATTATATATAATAAAATAATATAAAATATGTTGATAGTAAAGTCGTTACGTAAAGCTGGGTCCACATTTGTAGCATTTCGGTGTATCGTATCTCCGTTGCGTGGCTTCGGCGCGTATCATGATCGTTAGTTTGGACCCAAAATGATACCTGTTAATGATACATGCCGTATCTGATACGGCCCGATCCCCACTAAGCGCGTATCTTTATACACCTCGTATCCGATACGCGTATCACGATCGGTGGTATGGACGTATTTTAATACTGTATCACGATACTGTATCGCGATACGATACTTGATACACCGCGAAGCATCCTGTGTCGGTTTTTTCGCGATCATCAAAGGGAATACACAACATCAATGGGTTACATGCAAGTGAAATTTTTGTATTTTCCGCTGGTATGCCGAAATTTTAAATCTCGCATCAATGGTATTCCACCATGTTTGTTTCGGTTTCTAAACACTCTACGTCTGGATTTAACTTTTTTTGAAATACTATTAATGATAATATAACAGGCGCTAGACACCGCCAAACTGTGAGCAATTGCTGACATGGCTAAACCGTTTGGGAACGAAGACATGACTGAACCGTACGAGAAGGGAAAGGTGCACTGAAAGACACGCGCATCAGGATACATCGGAAGAAAAGTGAAGCGTCTATATTTGTAAAGTTAAAGCCGATACACTGACATGATACAGCATTTGATAAGTATGGACGCGTTTTTTACAAGATACGCCTTAAAAATACGACATGGACAAAATGAGCGTCCATATTTATGATACAAATACTAGATACGATACGACTGATCGTGATACGTCAACATGCTACAAATGTGGACCCAGCTTAAGGGGGCGTCCATAAATTCCGTGAGGTGTTTTTTTTTAATTTTCTGCGCAAAAGCATAAAGAAGCTATCTCTTTGAGCTCGGAGAACTTTAAATAAAACAGAATTCGTAATTTTGAGCTCGAAGAGCTCAAAAACAAAATAAGTGAAATGTTGAGCGTTTAGGATGGAGTTAGCGGAAAGTTGCAGAGATGGCCTTTAGGGTCAACCGTTTTCCTATATTTTTTTTTCAATCAGAAAAAAATTGCGTGATATTTGCCGAGACCCCCGCTCTCTCCAACGTAAGATTAAATGAGATTTGACTCAACCCCCTCCCCCCCTAAAACACCTCACGTAATTTATGGACGCCCCCCCAATATAAATCCCAAAGCTCGATAATTAGACTATTCAACAATTTTTCAGTACTTCCTGAGATTAACGCGTTTAACAAAACAAATAAATTCTTCAGCTTTATAATATAAGTATCGAATTTATTACGGCTGTGCACAAATTGAATTTTCTTTTAAGGCAAGCATCGTGAGGAAATCGTCTCAAACCCAAGAATGGATGACATCTGTTTGACACAGAAGGCTAAACACCTACTTGTCTATGAAATAAAAATAATAGAAGAAATGGATTATTTATCATTACTAATTCTTCTATCTCGATCAGGAGAAGCCAAAATCAACCAAAAATTACCTGAATAGCATAATAGTCTTTCAATGTAAATGACAGTGTAGGATTGCTCAAGTTCCGCTGACTGTGAATAGAGACAGCTTCCAAGTACAACTGCAATAATCTCGCAGCACGTTTGCCATCTTCTCCGCCTTTGCTCTCACCACGGACCTGGAATTTACGAGGACCGTCAAAGGCGAGGAGAGTGGCAGAAATCGGAATGGTTAGAGGGTACTGCTTTCCATAAACATGTTACGGCGCATGACATATATGTGTTTGATATTAGGTCGAAATCAGAATCCAGAAATTTGACAGATATGCGAAGCTTGATACGAGTGTATCTACAGTTTCATAACATTTAAAATTGCACCATTTACACCCGGATCTCCATTTACTTGTTGTATAAGGTGTTTGGTATACAACAAGGCGAAAAGTTCTCATACTAATATGTCTATATAAATGTTATATCAATCTTACATATAGTATGGAAATAGTAAAAAAAATTAACAAATAAGCTGATCAAGTTAATTAAAGTGTATTTTTTTTACCCAGTACCTCTCCCATTTTGACTGCGTAGTACGGGGCGCTAGGGTAATGGTTGCACACGGATACTGATGAGCTAGAGATGATTATGGTCAAAGCAACAATAATTGTAATGTAAAGTTTACATTATCACAATGAAACAATCCAACAACTATATTTTATATTTAATTTATGTCAATTGTACTATATTAATGTATATGCAACGAAGTGTTATGTTTCATATCATAATATATGATGTACTTATTCAAAAGTTTTATTTGCATCTCTTATCTCTCTCAATATTCAAAAATCCTTTTCATAGAAAAACAATTCTATCAGTGGAAACTACAATTGTCAATAGGGAAATTAAAAAAAAAAAAACTAAAAATATTGTTTTTTTTTAAACTTCCCATATCATACTTGGAATACAAAATTTATAGGTATTTCACCTGTACAATTCCTGTCACAGAAAGAACATCGCCAGGGCAAGCTGTACCAACAAGGTCCCCTTGTAAGTCTATCTCCACACTTCTTGGTATTGTCCCAGAAAGGCTCTGAAATTACATTATACGAAATTAAAAACATGTTTTACTTATTATGTTGCATATAGTTGCTGTATATTGTAATATTTTATTTGAACTCATGTGATACCGTTTATTTTATTAAATTGTATGTAAATTGAAATCATTGCAAAGTTAAGTTTTTAAAAAAGAGATTACATGTGATTGTATTTCCTGTATTTTTGCTACTTGCCAATCAGTTGTATTTGTAAATGGAGATGACTGTAGTGGTTCAAATTTGTGGCCACTTCTGCAACTCTGGCAAAAATTTGGTGCTGAAAGTGTATAAATTTATTTTAAATTACTTAATTCTAACTTAAGAATATTTCCACACCTATAATGCTCCAAAATCCTTGTCAGAAACACTTTATAGGAAATATGTAGTTTCATTTTCAGATTTTTATTTTCTTCAAGTATAATTTATAACTTAAGGAGGAATTTTCTATACCTGTAAAAACACCTTGTGGCTGCATAACAGCTTGTACTCCATGACAACTTGTACACTCAAAGGCCATAGAGGTACACATAAGGCCCACGCTACCAACTCTTATGACTGTACCTTTTATTGTAACCAATTTTCCTAAAATGATATATACAATATAAAAAATGACTTCAAAAATACTGTAGTTTCTATATTCGTTAAACTTACCAAAATAATTTACTTTTAAATTTGCTATTGGTATTACAGGTTGGTGGTTTAGTACTCTTACTTTTACTTTTGACTCACATTTTAGACTCTGCAAAGAAAACGATATTTTTATTTAAAATAAAGAAAATAGCCTTTATTTTATAGTATAATGTATGAAAAGATACTAGTTGAACTATACCTCATGTAAACAAAATTCTAATAGTGGCAGTGTATATTCTGGTTTCTCAAATAGATCTGTTTGAAATGTTGACCAGTAATTATTAAAGTCGTCATCAATTACCAAAGTTTGTAAATCTAATGGTACACTTCTGGTTTGATCAATTTTTTCTAAATCAAATATAGCTTTGTTCTTACTAATATACCTTTTAAAACATTCAATTCTACTATTTGTTTCAGGGGTCGGCAACTGACCTACAAATTATAATTTGATGTTATCCATACAATAATTAATATCCATAAATAGTCTGTAACTGTATTGAAATTATATCTATGTGTATAATGAATAATAATAATATAAATTCTAAACAGATCGAATTTAACACACATACTTTCAGTTGGAAAATATATTTTCCATACACTTGTCTCTGAATTAATTGGTATGACGATTGGAACTTGATTAGCTGGGGCTCTAACAGAATTTGCGGCGATAGAGGTAGAATTTTTTAATGTCGAATTGTTGAGACTTTTGTTATCTGCTGTTGATATTCTTGACTTATTGTTATTACGATTCCAACGTCCTCTCCAATTTCTTCGCATTATAATTTTATTTATTTTCGTAAAAACTTAAGATACACAATTAGCTATTTACAACAGAAAAAGGATAAATAACATTTAATTTTAAAGTTTTCTTATAAAAACTTTTCTATTTTGAATTCAAGCATTAAGATTCCCGCTTAGGGTTGTCTAATTTTTGACGTTTCATGTATTGTCAAGTTTGTAAGTAAGATCTTAACTAGAACAAGAATTAACGAAACGTGTAACGAAGCGTAAAAAGGAAATAAAACAGTGAATTACCGTGTTTTAATTTACTAGTTACATTTCTGTTATTCATCTCACGTTTTTAGCGATAGAAATAAAATATCATGCTGTAATTCCTATTTTTTTAATACCAAAATTTGTTATCTTGTTACGGATACATAATCTTTAGTGTGTATAACGCGGAACCAATCTAAAGTATTTTAGGACGTTTTGTTTTTTTTATATTTAGTTTTATGAATAAAGACAATTAAAAATAAAGATATAATTAATATATAAAATAATTTAGAACACAATATGTAAAAAAGAAGCACAACGGATATCAAACATTTGAGGAGTTAAATTATATGGAAGCTATGTACTTACTCGTTGGACTAAAATGTATGAGGGAAAAAAAATTTAAGAGTAAATAAATATTAAATAATTTTCCATAAATTTAGCCTAGTGTATAACTTATTACTATAATGCTTTTCTTTTTCAAATTATCTTTATAGTATATTTATCATTTAAACATGGTACATACATATAATTTGTAATTACAATTTTCTTAACCTACAAAGTAGGTAATAATAAAAATAAATCAATAAATTTATAAAATATGTATGTATATATATATATTTATATTTTATTCAACAAATTTTACTTAGTTTAGACTTAAGATTATATGGCAAAAAAAGAGTAATAATATTATAATTCATGAGAGTTTAGGACCTCTAAACAAAAAAGGACTTGTGAATAAGTTATTCATCATCATTCAATAAATTAAACGTGTTCGATACACGTGAATTATTACATTTTATTTTTGTCTGTAAAAAATGTCGACAAAGTACTATGCTAGCCCGGAAAAGAACTACCGCTAATTTACGTAAATTAAACGACTTCAAAAACACGGCAATAATTGTTTTATCTCCTTTTTATGCAATAAGATGGCGTTCCAAAATAAAGTACCAAAATATTACTTTGTTTGCTATTTTAGTGCAGATTCTAGTCATTTTAATTTAAAATAGGCACTTATGGCTATGGATGATATGCGTTATATAATATACTCATGGTTTAAAATGTATTATGAAAGTATTAGGTAAAAAAACAGTAACTACATAAATACTTATTAATTTTCATCACACTTATTAAAAAAGTAAAATATTTCCTTGGCACTGTGGTGTTCAACGACGTAAGTTTCTATATAATATGTTTTATGGCCATCTGAAAATAATCTAATAAATATCTATTTTGTAAAACACAGAAAAATATCTCTATATAAAGTACATCTTATTCATGGTTTTGGCGTATACCATAAAAATACTGAAATAAATAATATAATAGTCTATATAGTTTTTTTATTATTTCTTATCTGTAATTTAAAATATCGGTTTTAACTTAAGAACGAATTTCAAAAATAGAATTTAACGTTTTGACTATTTTGCGACGTTTGTTTTTTATTATTGTGTAAAGCTCAAACGTAATTTGTTATCATACCTATCAGTAAAGGAATATTTTATAGTTTTTAGAGAATTACTACGTATTGTTAATTTAGTATCTTATTAAGTTTTTTAACATGGCTGAAGAGGGTGGAGCTCCACCCGATACTTCAGCTCCTGAAGCTGAAAAGGATGAGACGGGTGGAGACGCTGCAGAAGATAAAGATGGTGATGTCGAGAAGACCGGAGTGAAAATTGATGAAGTCGCTCGGCGTATATCAAGAAAACAGTCTATATTTCAAGCTAACCAAGAAGAGGCAGATGAAATTCTCGATGTTGATAGAACTGCTTTAGAAGCAATTTTAGACGTCAGCGCCCGTCTGAAAGACATTCAAAAGAAAAGCAAGATTTCGATGAGTACTTTAGCTTTAGCACATGAGTCCTACAAAGATAAACAAGTGAATAAAGTTCCATGATGTGATTCCTTACTCGTTTTATTTTTCATACTTAAAAAGTTTGTTTTTTTTAGGCAAAGGCAAAAGAGGCTCGGAACAATAGGATGGGAGGTTTGAAGACACAACATAGGTTTTTGTTGGAAAATGCTGCAACTATTATTAATAAGTCTATTGAATATGTTTTGGTAATAACATTTTTATGATCTATGAAATCAGGGTTGAAAAAGATTATGGTTGAAATTTTTTAAGAGTTTAAGCAACAAGATTTACAGTAAAATAATTCCTTTTCTAAATATCTAGATTGTAATTTATGTGTGCCTTTATTACAAGGAGGTAACAAGAATTGAGATTTCTGCTACATTTAATTTAGAAAAGTGATATATTCAAAACCAAGTTAAACATTTTGCCATTCACTGTGAAGCAAAAATTCAAGTCGGACAATTTTATTTTTAGGAAGGAGTGTATGATGCTGATATTCATATTGATATAATGGACAGTGCAGTTGCTGAAGGTGGCAGAAATTGTGTAGTATTATGTGATGCTTGGTTGCCACCTTTGAAAATGGGTAAATTATAAAAAAAAATATTACAACACAGCAGTGTTGGCCTAGTGGCTTCAGCGTGCGACTCTCATACCTGAGGTCGTAGGTTCAATCCCCGGCTGTGTACCAATGGACTTTCTTTCTATGTGCTCATTTAACATTTGCTCGAACGGGGGAGGAAAACATCGTGAGGAAACCGACATGTTTTGACCCAAAAAGTCGACGGCGTATGACAGGCACTGGAGGCTGATCACCTACTTGCCTTTAGATTTAGAAATGATCATGAAACAGATTCAGAAATCTGCGGCCAAGACCTAAAGAGGTTGTAGCGCCATTGATTTATTTATATTTTAAATTATAACATTTGCCTTTCTTAAAAATTTACATCCATTACAGTCAAAGCATAATGATTGCTAAAATCAATTATAATACTTGTGAGGTCTGTATAGAAATATACTGATTTTGTGGTTCCCCTCACTGCACCATGCAAGTTTAACTTGTTTCGTGTTTCGTTTCGGTAGGCCTCGAAGGCTCATCACCTAGTGGCCTTAAAAAACATGATGGACCTTAGAGGCCTACAACTTAAATTCGTTTAATTTAAGTGGTTTGAATGAAGACGTTAAACTTTTATTAAACTGTGTATTTTTCAGAATCTGGTAGATTTATACCCAATCAAAAAGGATTGATGGAAAGGACATACATATCTGATGGGTCTACTATTGGAACTGAAGGCATGTGTGTTGCTATGTACAGGATAAAAAATAAAGCTATTGACACTAAAAATGTTGCTGATGTAAGTAAAACGTAACAATTTACGCAACCGGCAACTATTTTAAGTTCAGTGCCAGCCTTGCGATTCTGTAAACAATAAACTACAAGCTCCCTCCTTATCAGAATGCCAAATCGTAAAATTACTGCTTTACCACTGATTTGAGCGCGACCGCCGCTGTGAAAACCGCTGTGTGAGTCCGAAAAGTGAGTTACAGAATCGCAAGGCTGCTCTCTTATCCAGTGTATATGGGGTCATACTCTAATACTTAAACGAAGGTTGTAAAACCACACTTACATAAAAAGAATCATTGTCAAGTAGAAGTCGTAGTTCAATTGAAACGACTGACAAAAAGCTTTAAAAGGAAATTATAAGTAAACATTAGTGGTCCTAAGTATACAACATATAAAAAATAGGTTGTAAAAGATAAGCAAACACTGAAAGACAAGGCGCGGATTAAGTATTCGTAAACAGTTCACCAATTAATAAAGTGTTCAGCCATCAAAGACTTTGGAGCCGAAATATTTCACGGCGCTCACAGAGAAAAAACTATATATATAGTATCATGGAACAAAACCGTGTATGACAATCTGATGCAGAAGCTGCTGTTTTTTTCAGGACTATTACTTGGTATTCTTTGACATGAATCAAGAGTCCGAAAACGTTGTATCTGGTATCTTTAGAACTATGAAGCGTGTATATGTACCGGCTTTGAACGTGTGTAAAGCGTGGGGTGATCTTAACCCACCGAACCCGAGAAGCGCAGAAATAATCAATACATACATCTCTAAGATAATGCTCTTTACTGATTATCTTGAAAGTAAGAAATCATCTTGATCTAAATTATCCGTTTTGATCATTTAATTAATTTATTATTGTAACTTAATATAGTTTACTAATTTATGAATAATAAAACAAATAAGTATTAGCTAAAACCAGAGTTAAATTAAATTTTGTATGTCATAGTGGTTAAAAATTGTGTTTAGCCATATTAAATTTCTACTATAACTCACAAAATTTATACAGAAACAAAGATCGATCTTGATTGCTGTACGAAGTTCAAAATAAATCTGTCGTTGTATGAGGAAGAGTTGGCAGATGCGGAGAAAATGAAATTGGCTATAACTAAAACTCATGTACTCGAAGAGATATGTTCTTTTGTGAAACAGTGGAATAAGCAAATTACAATGGTACTGTGTTACTATGTTTATTGCTTTTTGAATTAATAGTGATATGCAGAGTCGAGACTCCCGACGCATAAATTTTACGGATTCTGACACGCAGGAGTCATAGTGCGCGCTTAGTCTCGTTTCAGAATCTCAACCTTAGCGTCTTGACTGCTGTAAGACAAAGTCCAATGAATTAGCTGAGTATTAGTCTAAAGGTGATATCAGACGGTTCATTTTTTGTTCATTTTCACCTTTCATTCGGTACATTTCACTCGAAATGAAATGTCTGAACAAAAAATGAAACACGAGTGCCGAATGAATTCATTAGTGAACCGATCCAACAGTGTTGGATATTGGCATCCGGTATCTTTCATTCCCACTCCGAATGAACGAGAAATGAACGGTCTGAACACTGAGAGAACGTTCATT